TCACTGGCCTATTGTAAATGATGGGATGCCATCTGTTGAGTGAATGGATTCTTTTTGTTTCTTATGAAACAAGCTCTTATGACTACTTAGGTCTGTTTTGAGCAACTTTTCTTCTTCCCCAAACAAGTGTCCCACTCATAATTAATGAGAATTAGTCTGATCAGAGGGAGATTGAGTCTTTCCAATCTTTTCCACTCTAGCTAGCACTGACTCCTTTGTACTTCTTGTCCTGGACAGAAATAAATGTACTTAGAAGAATGGAATAGAGAGAAACTAGAGAAGAGAGCTGGGAAATGGGAGCAGTCCCCTTTATAGTGGCACAGTAATAGACAGGAAACGGGCAGTAGAGGTCTCTCTCTGAAACAGAAGGGAGCAAAGTGTTCTCCTGGGCACAGGCGTCAGTGTTTCCAGTGGAAAGAGGAAGAAAAGAACAGCCCTTCTGCGTGGCTCAGTGACCGATCGGGAGGTTAGAGAATGATCAGAAGAGAAGATGCAGGCTGGAGAGACGGCTCAGCAGTGAAGAGCACTGGCTGCTCCTGCAGAGGACCCTGGTTTGGTTCCCAGCACCCACATGGCAGCTGATACCCATCCATAACTCCAGTTCCAGGAGATCCAGTGTCACCTTCTGGCCTCTGTAGGCATTTCAGGACATGGATGAATTTGCATGCATGCAGGCAAATCATCGTCTACATAAACTAAAAATAATTTTGAGAGACAGAGAGAGAAGATGTGCCATGTTAGAACACATTGATGATTTTATCTGGGGAACGGGAGGTTTGCCATAGACACATTCAGCCAGTATGGTCACACTCACCACCCTGCTGTGTGACTTGTCCCTATCAGTATAAAGGTGTCATCCAAAAAAGGACAAGAGATTTGTGTGATCGTCAGAAGACAGACCCTACGCGGCTCAGAGACCAGGAGAGTTTCAGTGCAATAGCTTAGCCTTCCTCATAACTGCCCCAGTCCTCAAATACATAGTATATTCCAAAAGGACTCACTATGTGTGTGTCACTTTTCAGACCCAGAGATCGGAGCTGCTGTTCTGTTCATCAAGGCTGAAGAGACCCAGCAGCAGATAAACAAGCTCAACAGTGAGGTACGGAATGCTGGGGAGGACTTAGAGTCCCACCTAGCAGCGGAAGTAGTGTGTGACAGTCGCCAGTGTGTCCTCCAAGAGAGAGTCCCTCCTCTGCCATGTAGACTCGTGGGAACTTTGACCTGTCATTACCCGCTCTCAAGTTCCATTTCCACCCATGTTAGAGGGGACAATAGTGACACACTTGGGTCCATTGTGAAATTAAACAACCTAGGTAAATAAAGTAAGCACTAAATAGGCTATCATTTTAGTAATTAATGTCATAGTGCTCTGTATAGACTAGAGAGTAATCTATAACAGCCACACTTTGTGTTTTTGAAGATTTTGTTAGTTTTGTTTATGTGTGTGTGCCTGTGTCTCTATATGGGTGTGCCTTGTGTGTGCAGGTGTCCCGGGAAACCAGAAGAGGGAATGGGATCCCTTGGAGCTGGGATTATAAGCGGTTGTGAGCCAGCTAATTTGGTTGCTGGGCTGAACTGAAGTCTTCGGTAAGAGCAGCAAGAGCTTTTAACTGCTGAGCCATCTTTCCAGCCCTCACACTTTGGGTTTTAAGTTCATTGAGAATGTAGCAAACAAAAGTGAAAGGATGAACAGCAAGTGGTGGGTCTACAGAGCAGCAGAGCGTGGAGCGTCATTAAATCGGGTGCTCATCACGTCCAGCAGAGACGAGTGGGTCATCTGAGAGAGCAAACAAAAGTCGCACCATCAGGCTAGTGCTTACAGCATCCGGCTGGGCTCTGGATTGAGAGTCCTGGGCCAAGCAGAGTTATCTCTCCATGAATGAACTTCCAGCTTCCTGTTCCCACTGTAGGCATTTTTATACCGTGAGATAAATAATAATAACCTGTTATAAGTTCTTTGCCCTGTAGCTGTTCCCAGGGACACATTTTTAATGTCTTTAGTTACTTGCTGTTTCCCCTCTCCCTGTCACAGAGCCAGGGGGCCAGCACGACCCAGGACAGGGGGTTGGAGGGTACTTGATGTGAACATGCTTGGAACTGAGATACAAAGGGCCTCCTCTCCCCTAGAGTCCGCTTTCCACAAGCTTCAGTTGCACATGACAGTTTACGAATATAATATATCATGCACACATAATATTGATACTTTAACTGGTATTTTTTCAACTGTTTGTGTCTGTAATATTGGTCTGAAAATGGATCTGTCCACTTACAATAAGGACAATTTTATTATGGTATAGGTGTATTTCATAAAACTTATGCATTTAAAATATACATTTGAATAAGTTTTAGTCATTTTATTGAGTAATTCAATCATCATCATAGTATTAGGACATGCTTTATCTCCCTAGTAATACTTCTCAATCAGATTTATACTTAATCTGTATTCCCACACCCAGCCCTGGGTAACCATATGTCCACTCTCTGCTTAGATAAAACTTTCTTTTCTTTCTACTTACATAGCACAGTAAGGCAGTCTCTTGATCACTGCCTTAGTTTGAACTGCTTTCCCCAGATAACAGCAGATTAAAACTGATTGTGGAACAGTTTAGATGCAAATAGTTATTTTGGAAGTGACCCAGGAAACATGATGGCAAATTAGAAAACAGATAAGCTTGAAGCTCCTAGTGGGGATTGGGGGGTGGGGGGCAAGGGCATGGCTGTGAACAAAGCGGTCCTGCTGGGGACCTCGGAGACACTGTGGGGCACAACTCAAAAATGTTCCCATGGGGAACAGGGAAGGTGGGGCTGAGGCTCCCTACACAGGCCTCGCAGCAGAGAAGACCAGGTAGACGCTCACTAGAAAGACGAAGGAAGGTCTGGGCATCTTTGGCCAACCTTCAGGGCAGCCGTGGGTAGGACACGGGGAGGGTGTACAGTGTAGCTGATGCCCCTCCTACGTTATAGTTTCAAATTACGTGCTGACATCGGAAGGGTAAAATGACCACGTGATGGTGCTGATGAGGGTTCTAAAACTGAAATTCACTTTACCACACTAACTTGCAGGAATCTGTAGAAATGGCAATGTGTAACTTGAACTGCTAGAGCTTCTCTTAAGCCTGTGTTTCTCTGGTGAAGATTCTTACTTAACTGCCATCTAGTCCAAGTCCTCGTTCACCCAAATAACCTCTCATTTTAAAAATACAGCAGAGGTGCTAGAGAGATGGCTCAGCGGTTAAGAGCACTAGCTGTTCCTACAGAGAATCCAGGTTACCCGCGTAGGTGCTAACCGGCCATAACTCCAGCTCCAGGGGACCCAACGCCATCTTCTGACCTCTGGGCATTGCATGAGATGGTGCACTTGAGTACACGCATGCAATACACTCACACACATAAAAATTTTAAAAACAAAAATTTTTTAATTAATAAAACTACAGCAGAAAACAAAAACTAGACATCTCATTGGCAAACTGAACTTGGCCCTTCCGTTGAGCATTATTCTCTTTTCTTCAGGCATTGTTTCTGGCTAAAACCACCCATTAAATCCAATGCAATTCTTCCCGTGCACATTTAAGAACAACACTTTGGGGGAGCGGGGATATTTTTTTAAATTTATTTTTGAGAATTTCATATATGAGTATTATCTTTGCATTATTCCCTCCTCTCAGTTCCTCACCCCCTCCTCCCTTGTCCCCCCTACGCCCTTTCAATTTCTTGGCCTCTTTGAATATTTTTACATAGATAGACATTTATAATATGTATGTATGTATGTATATATACAAATATATGTGTGTATATATACATATATACATATATATATAAAACACACATATATTGTACTGAATCTGCGTGGTGGTGCTTGTGTGGAGCTGTGTTTAGGGTTGTCTTTTGGGAATTAGATGCCCTCTCAGGGAGCTGTTCCCTGGAGAAAACGAATTCTCCTTCCTTCTGCACCCCATGACTTTGCCCCCGTCCACTTCGGCTTGTCATTGTGCAGATCTCGTTAGGCGCCACAAGGTGGAGATTTCTTTGGTGAAGCTCTAGAAAGCACTGACTGGCAGCAGGTGTCTCATCCCTCTGGCTCTTACATTCTTTCTGCCCCCTCTTCCGCCGTGTTTCCTGAGCCTTGAGTACAGACCTTGCTTTGTAGATGTGTCACTTAGGATTGGGCACCTCAAAGTGAAAACAGCTTTAATTCTTTTGGTGACTGATCATGAAGCTGGAGAGATGGCTCAGCAGTTAAGAGCACTGACTACTCTTCCAGAGGATCCAGGTTTGGGTCCCAGCACCCACATGGCAGCTAACAACTGTCTTTAACTCCAGTCCCAGGGGGATCTGATGCCCTCTTTTAACCTCCATGGGCATTGCTTGATATGAGTGCACTTATATGCATGCATGCAATAAAATTAAAATTGTAAAGAATTTTTTTAAAGAATTGATTGTTCTATTTCTTAGTTGGATCTTACAGTTAGTGGTTCTTCTTGGGGACAATGGGTATTTCTATCATCCCATTTCCAAGTGAAGATACTTTTTTCTGAGGCAGGGCTACAAGAGCTACCCACTGCGTTGTTTCCCTTGGACGATGTGAAGCAGTAGTAGATGTGTGAAAACATATAACTACTTGGAAAACAAAGGATGTGCCCAATGTGAGTCTGTACTTGACACTGTTCTGTTGAGTGACATAAACATTTTCTCTTGCCTTACATTGAGGAAAGTCCAGATAAGATGGTTCAGTGGTTCCATTATCCTTCTCTAAAGGTTATATTTCCCTTATAGTAAAATAACTGATTTCCTCATAGTTGTAGCTTATGGGAAAACAAACCCCAAACTTATCCTTACACATAATTAAATTTATATAGCTTTGACCCTTAGGGCAATGTATGAAAAGCCACTAACCCAGGAACAATGAAAATACAGATCAGATTCTGATCTATGCGGTCGGTCCTCTCACAACCTCCTCCATGTGTTTTACTCACACACACACCCCACAAAGACATGTTACTTACATAGAAAAATACCAAGTCTAAGCCTAATTATCCATTTCGTGTAATCCTAGTCTTCATAGACAGAATCAGTTGATCACTCTGTTCTTACTTTCTTCTGTTCTTTGGTTACCACCAAGCCAGAGAAGACTTCGCAATGAATGCCAAATACACGACATGACACTATATTTATGACCAAAAGGCTAACGAACCTTGTAGCTGAGGTTCCTTATGCAGAGCCCTGTGTCAGGTATGTGAGCACTGCCAAATCAGTGTTCTAAAAGATGCTCAAAGATTTAAGAAATAGGCTGGAGAGACAGCTCAGCAGTTAAGAGCTCTTGCTGCTTGTCAAGAGGATCTGAGTTTAGTTCCCAGTACCCATGTCAGGGCTGGGAGTAGAGTTCACAACTACCTGTAACTCCAGGTCCAGGGCATCTAAGGCCTACTTCTGACCTTTGTGAGTACTGCATGCATGTATGTACACACACACATACACACACACACACAGACACACACACACACACACAAAGTAATACATCTAAAATGCATATATACAAATGAAATCGTTCCCTGATGTGTAGATTTCATAATCAACTGGCTAAATACCGAAAAAGCTAGATAAGGCATAAGATTGGTATTAACCTACATTCACAGAACACTTAAAAGAATTCTACAGATGCTGAAGATGTAGGGCAGCCACTAACAGTGTGATTTGAACCATGGGGAGTAAGAGTGTAACTCTAAGAAAATTCTTTAACAATAACAACATAAAGCCCCTTCAGGGACTGTGGACTGTGTGAGCCAAAGGTTCCATTCTGAAAAGGTTTATAGATAAATACTACATGTGTTCTCATTTCTTTAATTTGACTGACCCAGAAAGACATTGTAGTAAAGTGTGTCAAGGGAAACTGCTCTACCACAGCAGGAAAACCACATAAAGCACTGCTGGGAAGAGAAACGCTTTCCTGGAGGGAGACAAGTGCCTCGATGTCCCTTCCCCCGTCAGCTTGGCTTTGTCTTCCCTAACCTTCTGCTGTTTTCTTCTATTAAATGGTTATAAAACCTGCAGTAGAGAATTGCTATGTAGAGTTAAGGCTGTGTGGGAAACACGTGTAAACAT